AAATAAAAAATAAGTACTGTCAACCATAGCACCAACAGAGAAATCTGCTACATATTAACTTGCTGAGCCCCAAGGATAACCAGTGTTTTTTTTTTTTTTTGCAATGCTCAAATAGCAGCATAGCTTACAGTGTAACTTTCCAAATTTCTTCGCTGATCTGCACTATCTATACTTTCTATATGAATTACAGAAAGCAATAACACATTATAGTGAGCATAGAGTTACATAGAATCTTGTAGGCTGAAATACAGAAAGCTTTGACCTTTTACAGTGGCATACTTTTTACTATTATATGAGGATGACAATAACAAGTACATTTAGTAACATGCAGAATTATTGCGGTTTATTGCGTTTTACATTTGCCTGGTATTTAGCTTGCAGAGGTTTATGAATGAGCTCTTGTGTACAATGTTTCAGTGTAATATTGCACCTGTATGGGCAGGGGATTTTAAATAGTTTTATATACCTGGAACAGGCTCTGAACTTTGGATTCTTGACAATATGGGGTTTATTTACTAAAGCTGGCTAGTGCAAAATCAGGCTCACCCCTGCATAGCTTTTAACCCTAGCTTGTTCAATTAAGCTTTGGCAATATAATCTGGAAGCTGATTGCAGTGGTGTAGCATGGGTTGTCAGTGCCCAGGGCAAGGCAAGCAATTTGCACTCCTGAACCCATGGACTTTTATCACTCCCTTCCACTATGGTCATGGTTTGGGGGAGGTGGAGGGAGAGGTAGTTTGGCAGGTAGGAAGGGTCAGTGCCCAGGTTCCTCACCTTCCAGGGTCACCTCCTTCCCTTCCTGCTTCAGCACCTTAACCGACTGGTCATGGGTGGCACTCCTCAGGACTCCAGAGTGGGAAGCTGAAGTCCACACTGCCATGGTGTCACTGACAGCTGAACAGGGGACACTTCCTGCTAAGGGCTCTGCTCCGCCGCTGTCAGCTCTGCGTCTCCCCTGACACACCCTTCCTACTTTCACAAAAAGAATATTGGGGAACTGGAGAAAGTACAGAGAAGGGCAACTAAACTGATAAGAGGGATGGAGGAGATCAGCTATGAGGAAAGATTAGAGGAACTGAATTTATTTTCTCTTAAGAAGAGAAGACTAAGGGGAGATATGATCAACATGTATAAATACATCAGTGGTTCATATAGTGAACTCGGTGTAGAGCTATTCACCCTGAGGTCATCACAGAGGACAAGGGGGCACTCTTTACATCTGGAGGAAAAGAAATTTAATCTCCAAACACGGAAAGGTTTCTTCACAGTGAGAGCTGTGAAAATGTGGAATAGACTCCCTCAAGAGTTGGTTCTGGCCAACTCAGTGGATTGCTTCAAAAAAGGCCTGGATTCTTTCTTAGATACACAGAATATAACTGGATACTAACATTTATAGGTAAAGTTGATCCAGGAAATATCGGATTGCCTCTCAGAGGATCAGGAAGGAATTTTTTTTCCCAGCAGGAGCAAATTGGATCATACTTTGCTGGTTTTTTTGCCTTCCTCTGGATCAACTGTGGGTATAGGATTTTTCTATGGTTGAACTGGATGGACTTTGTCTTTTTTCAGTCAGACTAACTATGTAACTACTTCCGCACAGCCCTGCATCTCCCCTAACCCTCCTTCACAGTCCCTCCATTCTCCTCCTTTAACCCGCCCTCACAGCTCTGCCCCTCCCCCGCCTTATAGACACATGTGGCACAGTGACACCTGCTGGCCACCTGGCAATCACAGGACTGGTATCTGTTCCGTGACACCTGGAGATGTGCATCTCTCAAGAGGTTATAGGGTTGACTGCTTGGTCTGCATTGGATTGCACACTCGGGACAGCGCCGGTAGCAGGACTAATTTCTGCTCTTAATGTTGCACCCAAGGTGATTGTACCGGCTCCCTCCCCACACACACATACTCAACGCCACTGGCTGATTGGTTTCTATGGAGAAGTAAGCCTGTGTTTGCACTTTCTAGCTTTAGTAAATAAACTCCTATGAATCTATGCATGTGTTGGAGACAAGCATACAATGGTACAGGAGTGTAGCAACAAGATTGTAAGCAAATGTCTAAATGCTGCTTAAAGCAGATCACCCACTTCAGCTTTGGATGCTAAAAAAGACAATACTCTTAAAGCGCACCAAGACTTGGGCTACCTTACCCATCAAGCAATGTGATACAAGTCAGTTTTCAATGATATGGCTCTTTCAGTATTATTTTATTTATTACAGCGGTTGAAACATTGTATCTACATTTAGGATACATTCTAGTTCAACCGCTGGTGACTGTCCTGGCGGCTCTCCCAAGGAACTTCTTCTTTTCCTTAATAGCTCCAACAATTTACACAGGGCTTTAAGTCCCTGCCCTTTTCAGCAACTTACAATCTAAGGTCCCCAACTCCCATCATTCATACATCACACATACTAGGGACAATTTGGACAGGAGCCAACTAACCTCCCAGCATGTCTCTGGAGTGCAAGAGGAAATCGGAGTACTCGGCGGAAAACCCACGCAGACATGGTTGGAAACTGAACTGATGACCCCAGAGCTGCCAGGAAGTAGGGCTAACCACTTAGCAGTGTGCTGCCCTGTAGCTGCACTTTAGCCCAGGCCCACTTTATCATCTATTGCAGAGTCCCCGTGGAACACTTCTTCCCTTTTCCAGACCCCTAACCCCCCCATGACATTATAATCCAGTAATCAGAAGCAAGAGTGAGCATATTATGTCTACTAAACTTCTTATACGCTTGACCCTTTAAAGCCTCCTAGCCCTTTAACCAATTCAATACCGGGCAATTTTACCCCCCTTCCTGCCCAGGCCAGTTTTCAGGTTTCAGTGCTCTCACACTTTGAATGACAATTGCGTGTTTATACAACATTGTACCCAAACTAAAATTTTATCCTTTTCTTCACACAACTAGAGATTTCTTTTGGTGGTATTTAACCACTGCTGGGGTTTTTTTTTTTTTGCTAAATTAACAAAAAAAGACCAAAAATTTTGAAAAAAACACACGGGCAATTTTTTTCTTTGTTTCTGTTATAAAAGTTTGCAAATAAATAATTGTTCTTCATAAATTTAGGCCAAGATGTATTCTACTACATGTCTTTGGTGAAAATAACTCAAATTAGGATGTATTATTTAGTTTGTAGGAAAGTTATAGAGTTCACAAACAGGTCACATGGTACCGGCAACGGGGGCCAATACTCAGATCTGTCATCGGCCATGTCCGAGGTACAAGGCCGGTGACAGATCGCGCTGCTGTGCGGCTCTGCAGGAGCGCAATCTGTGCATGTGTGGGAGGACGCCATATGGCGTCCACCCGGAACGCTGATGACATTTGCTGCCATTCGGCCATAGGGCGGGCGGCAAATGGTTAAGAGGTTTCTAACGCTGGGAGGCGGGGCAGGGTTTCTGATCATGTGACCTCAGCAAAAAGAAAAAAAAAAACCCAGAGATGATCATATACCACCAAAAGAAAGCTCTATTTGTGAGGAAAAAATGACATACATTTTTCATTTATGTACAGCATTGCATGGCCCTGCAACTGCCAGTTAAAGTAATGCAGTGCTGTATAGCAAAAAATAGCCTGGTCAGAAAGGGGGGTAAATCATCCGGAGGTAAAGTAGTTAAGGAGATTCGACCCTCTCTATTTGTCCTGTTTGCCATTATCATTGAAAGTGAAAGTAAAAGAAAATCCCAAATTTTGGGTTGTCCTCAGACAAGTAATAGAGGAGAAATCTTCCAATGACGACACTAGTTCTGGTGACCTGGGGGGCCCCAAGGAATTCCCTTAATTTGAAGGAATTTCGTCTCACTTCCTGTTTGGCTATGGGACAGGAAGTGAAGGAAAATCTTAGAAATGGGACACAGATGGTGTAAGGGAATTCCTGTACGGCAACTGGCTAATAGAAATGAGCATAGGCTCGTGCATGCGCGCACACCGGTGCACACACGCGGGAGCATGCCCACTGTTTCTGGCGCCAGACTATTTAAAGGAAGCTCTTACTCTCTGTCAGTGCTGACTGGTCTTCAGCTAACTTCCTGTTTCCTGCTGTATCCTGTTTGCATCAGTTACTGACCCGGCTTGCTATTTACCTGCTCTTGGATCCTGTTTATGCTTCTGCTCATCGGTTTCTGATCCTGGCTTCCTCCTGACCACGTCCCTGTCTGATGTTCCGGTACCCTCATCGCCTGCTCGTTGCTGACCTTGGCTATTACTCTGACTACGCTTCTAGTTCCAGTTTTGGCTCTACAGTGCTGCCGAGTGCCTGTCCTAGCTGTCATTACATCAGCTCCGGTTGTCACGGTGTGCTCCGGCCTCACGCTTATCAGAAGTTCCAGCAAACCACGTACCCAGATCTTGCAGTTCCAGTGGAATGCGTCCTTAACTTCAGCTTGCCGTTCCTGACTGGATGCCCTATTTGATTTACCGAGGTTACATCACCAGCTGCAAGTTTCACAATCAATATCCACAGGCACTCATGTTCCTCCTGTCCCTCAGCACCATCTGTTTCACCTTCAGTGGGGCCTGGTTTGAGATACAAGAGAGGCTGACCTCGTCAATTCAGACTTCTATCAGATATGTGACAGATGGCGAAAAAAAAATTGACAGGGGGTAAAATCCTCCTTCGCTCTATCCAAAATGAAAAAAACAAATAGTTTTGCCTATACAGTAGTTCTACTTTAATATTCACATTGGTAAGCATGGTAACCATGTGACTGTGCTGATCAATGAGAAGTGCATCTGAGACCTCTTCTTCCAATAAGGTGTCTCAGAAGAAAAAGCGCTTCTCATTGGTTAGGGTGGTCACACGCTCCAACAGGGCCATTGGAGGCTCAGTGGGAGAGATATTTTCACTTCCTGTCGGGTAAAAAGTTTGTTTGCAGGAAAGGAAGTGAGGAGAAATCTCTTTATTAGCAACACAGACAGAAGGAAAAATGCATTTTTAAAGTGTTACCAGTTAAACCCAGGGCCCTGCACTATATCTAGTCTCCCACAGTACACAAAAAATGGAAATGCAATTATTTTAGTAAATATAAACTGCTAAATACCTTTTCTCATTAGCAGTTAGAGCAGTCTTGTGACTTCTATCAGTGTCCAGCAGAGCACTGGTTAAAGCTTGTAGGAGGAGTTTTCATTCTCCCCTTATAACCCCTGACCCTCTGTCTGGACAGCGCTGATTGGCCCTGTGCTGACCACATCCACTCTCTGAAGAACAAAAAAAAACTCTCCAGCAATACACACCAAACTGAGCATGTGCAACTTGTCCCCAAAACACTTCAGGGGGATAAGATGGGGACAGTAGAAGGAGGCAAGGATCAGAGAAGACAGAATCAAACATCCTTTTTACACAATGCAGAGGATAAACCCCTTAGGTTCCACATTGAGTATAACAAGCATGTTTTACTGCGTATACAGACTGATTTTACTGTTGTGGGTTTAGTAACACTTTAAGTTACCGTATTTTTCACTCCATAAGACGCACTTTCTTCCCCCCAAAAAAGGGGGGGGGGAATGTCAGTGCATCTTATGGAGCGAATGTAAAGCAGCCAGTCTGGTATTCCCACCATGTCAGAATACCGGGCCGGCCGCTCAGCTCTTCTCTCCTGCAGGACCTTATCTGTTCCTTGCTCCAGCGCTGTAGAGTCTTCCTGCGCCAGCTTCTGTGACAGCCGGGTGCCCACTACACATGCGTGCGAGAAGCGCTGCGCTTTGTGAATGGTCCGGTGTCTTCTGGGACGCATGACAGGTCCCAGAAGACGCCGGGCCATTCACAAAGTGCAGTGCTTCTCGAGCATGCGCAGTGGGCACCCGGCTGTCACAGAAGCCGGCGTGGGAAGAAGAGGGAAGGACAACTCCGCAGAAGTGGGAGCGGATACCTGTCAAATTCAGGTACCCGCTCCCCCTCCCTCCCCAAAGGTCCGCAGTCTCTGGTCATCTCCTTTACTGTCTGCAGTCTCTGGTCATCTGTACTATGTCCCTGGTATTTTCCCTGTATTATGTCCGCAGTCTCTGGTCTCCTGTACTGTGTCCGCAGTCTCTGGTCATCTCCTGTACTGTGTCTGCAGTCTCTGGTCATCTCCTGTAGTGTGTCCGCAGTCTCTGGTCATCTCCTGTACTGTGTCCGCAGTCACTGGTCATCTCCTGTACTGTGTCGGCAGTCTCTGGTCATCTCCTGTACTATGTCCCAGTCTCTGGTCATCTCCTGTACTGTGTCCGCAGTCTCTGGTCATCTCCTGTACTGTGTCCGCAGTCTCTGGTCATCTCCTGTAGTGTGTCCACAGTCTCTGGTCATCTCCTGTACTGTGTCCGCAGTCTCTGGTCATCTCCTGTACTGTGTCCGCAGTCTCTGGTCATCTCCTGTACCGTGTCCGCAGTCTCTGGTCATCTCCTGTACTATGTCCGCAGTCTCTGGTCATCTCCTGTACTGTGTCCGCAGTCTCTGGTCATCTCCTGTACCGTGTCCGCAGTCTCTGGTCATTTCCTGTACTGTGTCCGCAGTCTCTGGTCATTTCCTGCACTATGTCTGCAGTCCATTGGTTCAGAATATTTTTCTTCTTGTTTTTCGCCTCTAAAACCTAGGTGTGTCTTATGGTCAGGTGCATCTTATGGAGCGAAAAATACGGTAAGTATGGGAATATTAAAACACCTGTCAGTTTTTTTTTATTGTTTTCTGTTTCCTTGTTGCAGATTTTCCCTCACTTTCTGGTAAAAGATGTCCGCAAAAAGAAAAATGAGAAGAAATCTCTTTCTTTAACCCCTTGACGCCGACGGCACACAAATATGTGGCTTCACGGAACTAGGCTTTGCGCACTTGTCTTTGTGCTGGGTGCGCGCTGCTCGATGCGCTCCCAGTACAGAGACCGCGGTGTCACTGAAAGCCCTGGGTCCCGTTCTAACGATCTCTAACTCCTGACATAGAGAGATAAAAAAATGTTTGTAAAAAAAAAAAAAAAGAAGATAAATGAATATTAAAAAATAAAAGAAAAATTAAGAAAAATACCTAGATACCTTGATCTAGTTCAGTGCCAGGGTTAGTGTTTGGGTCAAGGTCAGGGTCAAAGGTCAGGGTCAAATGTCAGGATTTAAAAAAAAAAATTGGTATCAGTGTCAGTTAGCGTTAATGTCAGTGTGTTTTAGGTAAAAAAAAAAAAAAGACAAAAACAAAATGGCACTATTGTTTCTGGGCTGTACTACGTGTACAAACAACAAATAACATACACATATTATGGTATCGCTGCGATCGTCAAGAGCTGGATAATTTATTTTGGGTTCTTCTATGGAGGTAGGTTATGGTCGTAACAAGAAACACACAGCTAAATAAAAAAATGATTTTTTTTTTACTATTTTGGGCCAATTTTCCTTTGATAATAAAAAAAAAATTAGGGGCTATCCATTACCATTTACCACCAAATGAAAGCCCAATTTGTCCTGAAAAAAACAAGGTATAATCCATCTGGATGTACAAAGTAGTTGTGATGATATGTACAGCTTTACTAACACATGTCAACGTTGCAGAATTGTGCTTAGGCATTTAAATTTGTTTTACCCTTAGGCGTGAAGAAGAAAAGAAAAAACAAAAGAAGTAGAAAAACATACGGTATACAAGAATACAAGAATGTTTTCAACTGCTGAGTTTTATAGCCTGAGAACTAAGAAACTAAACAGCAGAAGTACAATGAAGCACAGCTAACCAACAAACGAGACAAACGAGACCAGTAAAATTACCTGCCACCCCAGATGGGATCAAGCTGTGGCCAGGTCAGGGTCACGTGAACCAGCTATTAATACAATAGAACAAAACAAAACATGGTAGGTCAGTACCGTTTAGGAGCTACTATGCCCTGAAAAAAAAAAATAAACAGGAGGGAAAAAATAAAATTTTACCAGTTTGCAAAAGCCACAATTGAAGATCTCACTTACATGTACAGTATATAGAGAAAGGTAGGTAATGGGATTTTGAAGGTGTGTAAAAATAATCCAAAAAATATTTAAAAAAAGGTTTATTGCAATTTATTTATATCAATAAAATTACATTTGATACAGTTACAATAGACTTGGCAATCACAACATGCTTGACTGTTTCCTGCGGTGCACAGATGATGCTTCCCAACATGTTTCGCCTATCCTGGGCTTCCTCAGGAGAAGAAAAAGGCTATCCGCAATACAGTCTACAATTGTATCAAAAGACATTAATCAATCACATATAGTTATACCATATACATCCAGCTATGATACTTCAATTTATATATCCAATAAATTAACCGTCCAGAAGATTATGAGCTTACCCTTGAGACTATACTGCCAATATATCGTTCATTAGAACAAAAACAAATAGATGCTGAATCGAAAGCACAGGTGTCCGTGTGATTGCAAAAGGTGCATAAGGAACCAAATTCTACCAAGACAAGATATACGTATGTAACCATCAACAATTTTTCAAAAAAAAAAAAGGAAGGGTATTGTAACATTAATCACTTACATTAAACACCTACAGAAAAAGGGGAGATTATTAACACCAGATACTCATTGCTGGATATCAAAGATCTCCCTCATTTACAAAGACTCCACACTAATAGAGAAAAAATGCTCACAAAGGATATATTATAAGATCATATCAGTAGATCAGTAGATACTGACTCAGCATGAGTTATCGACTGGGACAACCCCCCGATCCCAAATGTATGACCTGATTCATTTAACCAGGAAATGGTTGCAGCCAGAAATGCTGTCTGGACCAAAAATTGTGAAATGTGTGGTTATGCATAAGTTTCTGAGGTCTCTCCCTACTACCTTGCAGAAATGGGTGAGCCATGGAGACCCAGAAAAACTTGTAGACCTTCTGGAAAGGTACCTAGCAACCGAAAATATTACGTCTTCTCTCAAAGACTCATGGACTTTCCACCCCAAGACTAGGCCATCCCCAGCTATGGGTAAGACTGCACCAAGGGTTGGGGGTGGAGAGAATGGAAAAGGGGGAACTACAGGTACTTTGAGGACTGTTTCTAACATCTGGCAAGAGCAGCCTAGAAGGTTAAACCTGCAGAAGGTAACTAGAAGGAAAATGTGTTACCACTGCCAGGAAGATGGACATGTAGCAGCAGATTGCCCAAGTACTGATGAACGAATGAACAAGAAAAACCTTGCACCCTAGAAAACTGGCAGTTATTTGTGTTCATGATAACACTTCATCTGGTGGCAACAGTGTCCTTTTAAAACCTCCCCGAGTAGCTTGTGTCATCAGGTGGTTCTGGCTCCCCAACTATCACATGACGCTACTGCGGGAAGAGATTTCCCACAATTCTGGGAGCTCTGGAATGGCCCAGATTCCCCAAATGTTTCTTCGGAGCCTTAAGGCTCTCCTAGGGAATCCACTGAGTGTGAGGATTCACCTGAGCTTCCCTTGTCAGTATTAGCAGGGGAAACAACAGTGCCTAGGGAGGAGCCTGCAACCTCAGAAGTGGAACAGCAACCTCTAGTGTTTGATGATTTAGAAGTACACAGAGCAAATTTTGCCACTGAACAATTGAAGGACCCCACATTAGTAAGGGCACAGGAGAATGTAGTAAAAATAGATGGGGAATTATTGAACCCCTGATGAGAGCTTTGCCCTCACATACTTCATCACAAGAAGGGACCTATTATACCGGGTGTCACAGAGGGCAGTGGAAACTATAGAGCAACTGGTGGTGCCTAAATCTTACCGCAAGTTGGTCTTAGAACTGGCACACAGGCACATTCATGGGGGACATTTAGAAGTTGGAAAGAATCATACAGAGGTTCTATTGGCCAGATATCACTAAGGAAGTGGAAATGTACTATTTTTACTTTCCATTGTGTCAGATATCTGCACCAATGCTGCATTTCCACAGTCATTTGGTTCCCCTGCCCATCACTGAGGTCTCTTTTGAGAGGATTGTAGCAATCGTACATACAGAGATGGACGCGGTCATCCATCTTGCTCAAGACCCTCCATCTTGTATCTCTCTCTCCCTCCAATCCCCCTCTTCAGGCATGTGGTCTGTGTGTGTATGCTGAGTTCAAAAGGCATCAGGCCCCAGCTGGAGAGCTTCATGGTTATAAACCCAAATTAGCTGGTGCCCGGGTGTCTGTTAGCTTCTCAATCTGAGATAATCGTAAAACCATAAACCAGTCCTTCACTGGGCTTCAAAGATATTCCAGCTAGCCGTAAAACAGACCTCACATTTAAAACCTACTTTTCCATATAATTTTATATCTTAAGGTAGGAAATAATTACATAAACATAAAGCATATATTCGGATAGCCCATTTAATGCAAGTCGTCTGATATCTTACACCCCTCGTGGAAGTCTACAGGAGAGCAGAAAGCCATATAGTTCTAGCTGGAATAGTAAATGATGGCATGTTTGATATCTAGACGTTCAGCAGATGATTCTGCATATTAAGGTTATTGCCCTGGTATAACTTGTGAGGGATTTTGATTCTAGCCTGAGTCCCCCTCCTACAATACCTCTCCCCAAATGAGGCGATTGGTTCTCTGCTTTAAGGAGACACCCTGCTTAGTTCCTAGAAAAAGGCTGTTATGCTTGGAGCAGTAAGTTGAGTTGAAGAATTCTCCCTTTTTAACATCAGAACCAACTTTGGGAGACAAGGCACCCTTTTGCTCAGGACACTGGAATCTGCTTAACCCAGGACTTTTGGCACATACTCTACCTCCCTAAACTTCTTTCTGTTATCTCTTTGCTGTGTTATTGCTCTCTGTATTTATATATATATATATATATATATATATATATATATATATATATATATATATATAGGCTACATCTTTTTCTGTAAATATTGTTATTGTACCCTTTGACCTTTTTAGTAATAAATCCTATTATCTGAAAAGTGTTGAACTGTTTCTAAAGATCTTTAATGCAAGCTAAGAATCCCTGTCTCTGAAGAGCGCTACTGTGTGTTTTAAACCTCTATATATCTCTGCCTGCGGTGACAGTGGTATACAGACGATTATTCAAACATCATAGTGTTATTGCTAATATTGGCGAGTTTCCTCCTTTTCTCTACAAAAAGGCGGTGGTGGCATTTGTAGCAAACTAGCTCATCCAGCTGGAAGCAGAGTTCTCCTTTACCTTGTTGTATTTGAGGTATTACTTGAATCATTCCTCACACCCCCCCCCCTTGCATTCCTGTGAGGCAGACTTTATCTCCTGGCAGATGATGTGGAACAACCAGGCTAAGACATGAGAAGTGGAGCCAGCCCGTCTGCAGAGGTGTCACTTTGGTCACCCAAAGCTATGTAAGCCCCACACCTTATCAAGCCTGACCCAGAACTGAACATTCCTCAGGTCAACCATATGTTTCATATCATGGGACATGAGCTGGCAGTTTCAGTTTAAAATCTCCCAATGACCACTCCCAAAAGGTGTAGTCAGAGCCCCCCCCCCCCTTTGTGAGGGACTTTTAAAAAAGACAGGCTGACAAGCCTAGAGAGAGAGTGAAAGTTTTTTAACACACAGAGATCTCCCAGCAACATCGTAACAAGAGGAGATCAAAGAAATCACCCTGCTCACAATTTGGACTGCAAACCCAGGCATATGGGCAAGTAACTCAACCCTGTAATCTTCTTCCTAATTATCTCTTTGCTGTGTCTTTATATACATATATATATTTTTGTGACATCTTTGTAAATATTTATTTGCATCTGTTTGACCCTGTTAGAAATAAATCTTTCTTTCTGAAAGTGTTAAACTGTTTCTAAGCGCTTACTTGCAATTCACGAATCCCTGCTTTTGAAGAGACGCTACTGTTTGTATATCTCTGAATAGTAGGTCCGCGGGCCGTGTTATATAGATCAATATTTCAATCATTATAGTGTATATTTGATAACGGGAGTTTCCCAGTCTCCGACAAAAGTGGTGGTGGCAGTAGAGGATTAGTTGCGTAACTAACCCGACCCAGTAACAAGCGCATTCAGGCTGCAGGCACCGATTGTAGACCATTATCTGGGCAATCGCTGTGTAGGGTGCAGCTGGGTGGGGCCTTGTTACGCGCGTCACACTGCGGTTTTGGATCGGCCGGCCCTTCGGTCACGAGTTTGGTGAGAAGGTCTGGGGTCTGACGCCGTGGGCGTGACGTATTACTGTTAGTCGCGGCTGTGCGATTGTCGCCTGTTGGTGGCGGCGGCCGCGGGTTAAAGCATTGTGAAGGATTAATTGCGTAATTAACCTGACCCAGTAACAATCGCTCTCAGGCTGCTGGCACATAGTTTGTGGTCCATTAGCTGGAAAATCTTTGTGCAGGGTGTAGCTGAGCGTGGCATTGTTACGAGTTGGTGAGAAGGGCTAGGGTCTGACACCGCGATCCTCACAAGGATCACTGTGGATTTGGTTGGCCCCTTGCTAAAGACCTCTAGAGGGCACCAACACATCTTAGTGATAATGGACTATACAAACCCGTTACCCAGAAGTGATTCCTCTCTGAAACACCTCTGCCAAAACAATTGCCAAGGAGCTATTTCAGGTTTTTAGCCGTGTGGGCATTCCTAAAG